TGAAGTCAGACTGCAGACTGAGAAGTGAGAAAAGTTTAAACAAGTACACACAGTGTTTCTTAGTTTAGCTATGAAAGAGAGGAGCAATAAATATAGGATGATGGTAGCTTGACAGGATGGTAGGACAAAAGGGTTTTGTTGTTTTTTTTTTAAAAAGCACAGCAGAGTCTTGGGTTTGCAAGTATCTAGAAAGGAGCCAGTAGATAGGTAGGGAAAGACTGAAGATAAAGAGGGAGAGTAGATGATTTGGGGGGCAATCTGCCGGAGGAGGTGAGAAGGGATGGGATCAAGTGTACAAATAGAGAGGCTGGCAAGAAGCTGCAAAGATACTGGAGTGATTTGCCATTTGCCAAGGAATGTATATGTACAGCCTATATCAGACTGTGCACTGTCTTGGGGAGGGTGGTGGGAAGGAAGGGGGAGAAAAATTCTAAACTCAAAAGCATATGGAAGTGATTGTTGATAAATCAAAATAAATTAATTTAAAAAAAGATGCATAGCAGGAGTGAAGGGGATCGTGGCAAATGGCTTCTTTTCATGATTTAGAACCCATTATTTGATAAAAGATTGTTGGAAAAACTGGACAGCAATAGGGGATACATTAGATTTAGACCAAAATTTCACACCAAATGGATGTGACATAGGTATAAAAGGTCACATCATAAACACAGTAAAGAAAAAGGAAGAAATTACCTATCAGATCTACAGAGTGGGGAAAAGTTCATAACCAAATAAGGGAAAGAATCACAGAAGATGGATAATTTTGACTACATAAAATTAAAAAGATTTTGTAAATAACAAAACCAATATAGCTAATATTAGAAGGGAAACAATTAACTGGAAAAAAATCTTTGCAGGTTTCCCTGATAAAGGTCTCATTTCCAAGATATATAAGGACCTGATTCAAATCTGTAAGACTAAGAGACATTCCCCAACTGATTAATGGTCTAGGTAGTTTTCAGACAAAGAAAGCCAGGTCATCTATAGATATATGAGAAAATGTTCCAAATCTTTTATAATTACAGAAATGCAAAGTAAAGTAACTTTGAGCTTTCACTTCACATCCATCAATTTAGCAAACATCACAAAAAAAAGAAAATAATGAATGTTCGGGGGCATGTGGGAAAATAGCCACATTGATGCACTACTGGAGTTCTGAATGGGTCCAACCATTCTGGAAAGTAGTTTGGAATTAGGTCCCGAAAGTTACTAAATAGTGTATGCCTTCTGACCCAACTATACTTTTAGGCCTATGTCCCAAAGAGAACAGAGAAAATGGAAAAGGTCTCACATATACAAAAATATTTATAGCAGCTCTTTTTATGTTGGCAAAAAACTGCCAACTATCAAGAGGGTATTCATTAATTACAGAATGGTTGAACAAATTGTGTCAAAGGAATGTACATATTATAGTGCAAGAAATGAAGAAAAAGATGTTTTCAAAGAGACATTGAAAGACTTGTTTATGAACTGATGCAGAATGAAATGAGCAAAATCAGAGAAATACTTTATACCATAACATTATGAAGATGAACAATTTTGAAAAAGTATTCTGATCAACCATGATTCCAAAGGACTGTTAAAAAATGCTGCCCACTCTATGATAGAGTGATAAGCTATTATGCAGAATAAGACATGAATATTGGGAGAATTTGTTTTACATGACTGTGTTTATGTGATAACAGGCACCCTTCTTCCTCCCTTCCTTGATAATTGAGTAACATATTTTAAAAAGAGATGCCTCTTTAGAGAATGGAGGATGTTGTCAAGAGGTTTTAAGATGCATAGCAGGAGAAAACTGGAACACTAATGCATTGTTGGTGGAGTTGTGAAATGATCCAGCCATTTTGGAGAGCAATTTGGAACTATACCTAAAGGGCTATAAAAATGTGTATATATTTTGATCCAGCAATAGCACTTCTAGGGCTGTATTCCAAAGAGATCATAAAAATGGGAAAAGAACCCACATGTATAATAATATTTATAGCAGTTCTTTCTGTGGTGGCAAAGAATTGGAAATTGAGGGGATGCCCATCAATTGGGGAATGGCTGACCAAGTTGTGGTATATGAATGTAATGGAATACTATTGTGCTATAAGAAATGATGAACAGGATGACTTTAGAAAAACCTGGAAAGACATGTATGGTCTGATGCTGGGTGAAATGAGCAGAACCAACAGAATGTTGTACACAATAACAGCCATATTGTGCGATGACTAATATTGATAAACTTAACCCTTCCCAGCAATACAAGGATCCAAGACATCTCCAAAGGCCTCATGATGGAAAAGGCTATCCACATCCAAAGAAAGAACTATGGAGTTACTGAAAGCAGACTGAAGCATACTACTTGCTATTTTTTTTTCTTCTGTTGAGTTCTGCTTCATCTTTCTGGTGGTTCCTCCTATTGGTTCTAATTCTTACTTACAACATCACTAATATGAAAATGTTTAATAGGAATGTATACGTATAGCCTATATCAGATTATGCACCGTCTTGGGGAGGGTGGTGGGAAGGAAGGGGGAAAAAATTCTAAACCCAAAAGCATATGGAAGTGATTGTTGATAAATCAAAATAAATTAATTAAAAAAAAGATGCATAGCAGGAGCGAAGGGGATCATGGCAAATGGCTTCTTTTCATGATTTAGTATGGGAAGGGGTCCTTTACTGAGACTGTGTTTGAAAGAGTAATGTGGGAGGACTGAGGACAGGTTTTAACAGACTCTGTGGTAAATGCTAGGGAAGAGTAAAAGGGTTGCCTTGCAGCAGTAGGGACCCACTTGAAATGAGATAACTTTGTATTGGACCTAGTCAGTAGGTTTATGGGATTTCCTCTAGCATTGTTTGGTAGTATTTTAGTAGGGGTGGAGATGGTAGAAGCTCTGTTAGAGGTTCCCTCTAATTGTTACCATTTTGTGCCCTCCCACTTTCCAAATAATATTGTAGTTATAGTCAATTCTGCAATTATATTTCAAAAACACAAATTTATTCCAATATGAATGACATAGTAGGGAACATTAGCATGACACAAACTTCTAGTTAGCTTCTGAATGATTTCTTCCTCAAGAAACAGGGAAAATGCAGAAAACTGCATCACTTTATAATAACTCACAAGCTCCAACTCTTCCAATGCCCACCTCCACAAGCAAACTTCAGGTCTTTGTCAAGGTGAGGTGCCATTGTCCATCTTCTGGTGTAGTAGAGGTGTGAGCAGAGAAGGGCTGGTCCACCCTAACCCCTACCCTACCCCACCCCACCCCATCTTCTTCCACTACAGCCTCTTGCCCCTAAGGCCTGGAGTTTCAGCTTTTTCAATTTGCTGTACAGCCTAATGTCACAGACATAGCCACTACTTATGTAATATTTATTTTTTAACCATTCAACATGTATAAAACTGTGTTGCCGACAAAGTTTTTCGGCATTGCACATTCCATTTTCCCCTTAAGTTCTGTGGTCTTTATTGTGTACCATCTTGCAGAGAGCTGTGCTTTTTGGGAATGCATGTGTCCTGATATAGCAGAACTGTCTATACTTTCTATTTTTCTTATTCACTTATTAAATACATTGTTATTCTCCCCCAGTAGAATGTAAACTCTTTGAAGGAAGGGACTATTTTAATTGAGTTCCAGAACCTAGTAAAATGCCTGGCACGAAGGTATTTAATAAATGCTAGGGGAAATGAATTGAATTGAAACAAGGAGGAAAATACAATCTGGTGACTGCAGAGACATTAATAGTCTTACTAGAGGGCTGTTCCCGGCTCTGTTTTAATTTCCAATGGGCTATAAAAGGAAATAGAAATTAGTGAATTTCTAAAGCCACAGAGAAGTATAATTATATGTAGAACTAAATCTGTATGTTGAGTTTTTATGTAGTTGAGTTTTGTGTCTTAACATACAGACACCAAAATATCACTCTTCATGTTGTTCTGTTTTTCCTTTCTGTATTTTAAATCATAAAATTTGGCATGCTGGGATAGTCCTTGAAAAAAATTTATTTATTTATTTTTTTGGACTCAGCCTCTCTTGTGGGAATTTCCTTGCTCAGGACCTGTCTTCTCTTTTCTGGAAATTTCCATACTGCACAGTGAAACAAGTTCATGCTCCATGCGCCTGATACAGCTAGGGGCTTACCAGTAAAACCTAGTGTATCCCTTTTACATCAGAGACAGAAAAACTAATCAGATGTACCTAAGTAAGAACTTTCTCCCTTCTTATAAAACCTGTGAATGAATGAAATGGTATTTGTTAAGTGTTTACTATGTGCTAAACACTATAGATGATCCTTCCCTGTGTCAGCAAGCCACCTTCGCATGCAGATGTAATTCCAGCTATCTCATACACAGAGCAGCTTGCAAAGCTGGCTGTGCCAAGCCTGGGGGCGATGTCTCCACAAGATCATTGTCTCCGTCCTCCTTTGCCTTCTCTCCCCAGTCTCCTATGACCTATGGTTTTAAAATCATCACAGCTCTGGCTGAATCCTTCCCTTATTGTCCCTGCCCCCATTTTCCTGAACCATGTTAGGTTCTTCTGTATCAATCAAAACATCTATTTTTTTTACCTTATTCTATTATCTTATTGCTTTAAGCATCGCTGACCTGCTTAACTCTTTTGTGAAAGCCTCATTTCTATCCCAAAACTGTAGGAATGGACTGAGATTAAATGAATACAAACTGTATATGTACAACATGGGCATTTAGATGGTACAGTGCCAGGCCTGGAGTCAGGAAGAGCTGAGTTCAAATCCTGCCTCAGACAATTACAAGATGTGTCACCCTGTGGAAGTCACTTAACCTTGTTTGCCTCAGTTTCCTTATCTGTCAAATGAGCTGGAGAAGGAAATGGCAAACCACTTCAGTATCTTTGCCAAGAAAACCTCAAATGGGGTCATGAAGAGTCAGATATAACTAAAACAACTGAACAACAACAATATGTACAACAGAGCACAGTATACTTTGGTAAAAATAACTACCTTCTATTTAAAAGGAGGTTTCTTAAAAATAAGATAAAGATTGATGTGGTTTATTTTGCTCTTTCCTTGAAAAACCATCTTTTGATTTACAGTTCTCTGGGGAAGGCAATAAAGGAAGCAAACAAACCAAGCCAAACAGACTAGTTCCCCTTTCCCAGCCAAGCAAAACCTCGAAAATAAACAAAAGTCAGTCTAGACACCTTACCTTTCCACTAAACCAGCAAAGTCTTTAAGAACTGCCTTTGCCACTGGTCACCACAACCAATGAACAACCTGTTGCCTTATGCTTGGATTACTTGGAGACTCAAAGTCGAAAGAAAAGTCTAGAATTTAACCAAAGGTATCTCCCTGAGGCAGTGGTAGAAATCCAGCGAGATCTATTTCTATGCATTAAACCCAGACTATTTCTCTCAAGAACATCCATTTTCCTTAGTACTCAAGCCAAGTCCAGATCTGAGAATAAAAGAGGACCATCTTAAAAACCATAGAGAAAGACGGCACGCAGACTCTGCAGTGATTTCTGAGCCATGTGGCATAAACAACAAAGTGGTATGGGATCAGGGATTCCCTGTGCCTGGCCACCGCTTGCTTTTCTAAACTCTCCCCATGTTGGAAGCCATGCTGTTGACTCACCAAGGCAGAAAAGATCTGAGTTTTCACATAATCCTAGAGCTGGGAGTGACCTTAGAGGTAATCTAGTGCAACCCTCTTAATTTAGAATTTCTGTAGGAATTTGAGCACGAGGTCCCGAAGTCGAACCCTGAGCATCTCATCGTTGTCACAGATGATATGGGTTGAATCTTCTTCAATCTGGATAAGGGTCTCGGCCTCCTGGAGGAGGACGATGTGTCCTTTAGCTGTGTCCTCCACTTTCACATCACTGAAGCCATGCTGCCAAGGATCAAAGAAGACAAGAGACTGGTGGGTTTTCTGGACTGGGAAAATAGTTAGCCACTGAATGTCATAAAAATGGTGCTATTTCCACTTTGTTTATTATGAGGAGAAAGATTTAAAAAGTGGCATTTCTAGTATTTCTTAATGCAAATTTTTAATCTAGTAAGTGAGCTCATCTCACTACCTGGAAAAAATAGTTCATCTAGATGATGCTTTAAGGTTTGCTTGCTTCAGAACGGTTCTGAGTGCCAGCGCAAGTCTCATTACATTTTACAGAAGTGAGGGATGGGGATATCAGAGACATCTAGTCCAGCTCCCTGTTTTTTACAGATGAGACCGAAGCCTTGTCTACGGCCAGAGAGGCAGGAAATGCCAGAGTCAGGATTTGAACCCAAGAACTCTGACTCCAAAGAAAACATGCTAAAATGCCAGAGCCAGGATTTGAACCCAAGTCTCTTACCTCCCAAATCCATTATTTTTCACAAAACTGTCCTTTCCTCTCACTACTTAGAATCAAGCCAATTTGAAACAGGTTTCAAAAAGTGGTGAAATTCCATGAAAAACCTGCCAAAGGCCTGGCCCAACGGAGGAAAGCTTCCGACTCCACAAAGCTTCCGCTTTGTTCAAAGTGAACAGAGTGAACAAAGCAGGTGTCTGTGTCTGGAGTCATGGGGTCTGGGACTCCAGCCCAACCGCTCTTGTTGTCCCTCTAGCTACAGGTGTGTGCCAGTTCCCCCTGAAGACCCATTTCAAGGGTCTGGGACTCCACTGGACTTCAGGAAAGCACTGCTGCTCCCTGCATGTGCGAGGTAATGACCCTGGATTCAGAGAGTCTGTCTTAAAGGGAAGGTCCGGAGGAGACCACAATGGCTCCCAGTATTCTCTACTGCTCTGTATGAGTTTTCTCACCTGTGGGTTTCATTAGAAACCTATAGATAATAATATATAACTCTTGTGATGATAAATGGAAGAAAATAGAAAGAAAACACATTTGCTTGACAGGATTCAATGACTAATCCATGCTAATACAATGTAAAGAGCTGGATGTCAAGTCAAAGGGCCTGGGTGTGAATATTGGTTCTGCCGCTTACAACTTATGTGCCCCTGGACAAATCACTTCAGCCTTCTGGGTTCCTTACAGTGATAAGGGCAAGGATCTCTGGAATGTCTGTCCTGGGTCCTGTTGGTCTCATGGATGAGTGCTTCACCCGCTCCGGGTGAGCACCTCCACATGAGCCTGGAGCAGGCTCCAGTCATACTTCACTTTCTACTATTCCCTAGCCATCTTCTGGATGGCTGCCTTGTCAATATGGGCATATCCTTACTCACCATGCTCTCCGGCTCTGAAACCATGATCACATCAATTCTGTCATTATTCCTGGAAAGGGTGTGTCAATCTATTCCCCTGTGGCTTTGTTCACCAACCCTGTAACTTTCCAGACTAAAATGTCCTCCTTTCACCACCACTACCCTATGTATGTTGTCTCCCCAAGTGCAAGGTACATGATAAGTCCATGATAAATGCATTCATGTATATTCTCTCAACTTCTCCTTTCCTTCCTCTCTCACCTTCCCTCACTGTTCCTATAAGTTACTAGTTTTAAAGAGCTAGAGGCTGTAGATGGGACTAGAGAACATTTGAAAATCAGGGTCCCAAGTAGAAATTAATGAACAATCACTGGAAAAGAATGTAGATAGATTGAAAGTTGCCAATATAAAGTTCTGAAAACAATGAAGAAAGAGAACACAAAAAAGAGCAGCAATGGTCCTTATTTTATTCTAGGTAAATGTGAGCTGGATTCTTACCTTCTCCAAAGTCTGAACAAATTGGTCCACAGGGATGGAGCCACTTAGGAGGGGCTTCAGAAGTTTACAATCTGGGATGTCATCACTCACTCGCTTTCTCTTCTTGCTGGCTTGGGGCTGGCTGGGCCTAGGAGGAGCCTAGAGCATCAAAATAATTCAGTTCCCAGGAGCATAATAACAGCTTCCCATGTTGACAGTACAGGCTAATGCATTTACATTTGGCAAGGCACCCTGGTCTTAACCTGACCAGGAAAAGCAACTGGCCTCTACAACCTATAGCTGCTAGGCTCTGGGCAAGTCCATTAACCTTACAGTCTCTGCTTCCTTATCTGTAAAATGGGGATGATAAAAGCATATTCCTCATAGGGTTATTGTGAGGATTAGTTGAGATAAAATATATTACAAACCTCAAAGTGCTACTAAATGCTAGTAGTAGTAGCAACAGCAGCAGCAGTAATAATAATGATATAGAACTGGCCCCAAACTCCCAAAGCTGGCTGACAACACGAGCCATGCGCCTTGGAGTCACACCAGAATAAGCCAACTGTAGAAGGGAGGGTCTTCTCTAGTGTACTGTGAGCCCAGTGTTCCTGCCTTGACCTTTAATCATTCCCTCTCTGAAACATCTTGGGGTATACAGACTGAAGCGCTAATTTGAGTAAAATTTTAGGTTTAGGGTGTCAAATAGCCATAACAAAGAGAAAGAGAGAACACATCAGCTTATTTGCCTCAGACTTACTACCATTTCTCTTTCCTAAAAGATTGCGATTGTTTCATTTGTCCAAGTCTTATCTCCCCTGCTATCCTGTAAAAGTTTCAATTGTTTTGTGATATCTCTGACTGAGGCTTCTCATCAGCTTGGTCAGAGGGAAGCTCGTATTTTATTTTTTTTGCCACAACAACTTTATAAGAGATATCTAAGACCTCTCTGTTTGCAGGAGTTCTGACATGCACTGGTGAAGGAAATACCCACATGGATGAAATTACAGATCTGTGAAATATTTTCCTTTATGCCTAAAACAGTGCTTATTGGTTTGTTGGCTGGTTTAATGAAGTTTGAGAAAGTTTTGAGTTCTTTATTGTGCTGTGAACAGACACTTAAATAATTTGCAGTCTTCTCTATGAATAATTTCCTTCCCCTTTTATCGTGTACAGGCACATAGCCAAAGATATAAGTGGGAAGAAATTTATATGCAGCTCACTCTTTGTTTCAGATATAATTTATCAAGTGGCTCAGGACCACAATTATGCTAGTTAGGGAAATACCACTGCTCTGGGAGCTTTTTTCATTTTAAGCTTGGTAGACTATTGTGCTAGTTAAAGGTGAGGGGAGTGGAGAGGTCATGAGTATACTGAACAGAGGGATTCTTTATCATCTCTAGCCCCAGCTCAACCAGTGTGGAGCAAGGGGTCGGTGCGACGCAGCTGAGGCCAGGCCTCCATACTGTACCTGAAGAACATGCTTGTTATCTTTAGTATGCAGCACGGCGGAAACAGTTGCTAAGGAAATGCCAGGCTTAATCTCCAGGGGCACCAATGAATCTGCAAGCTAAAAGCATAGGGTAGTTTTCAGCCAGGAATCGCTCTGAAATGTGGGAACACCCTATTCAGATCAGAAACTAAAATGTAACATGGGATTTAAAACTTGGCCTTCTGGGCAAAGCCTGTGTACATTAAGGCCCACAGATTCCCCAGTACAATCTTTCCATTCAACCTCTAGCACCCCTGTTGACTGGCCCGCTTGGGGGCCACCAGCTATCTAAGGGCAGGACATAGTTTTTTGCTCTGATCACGCTCATTTTGCTACCATGAATGTGAAGGGTACCCTCAGGAATACTGAGGGGTTTTTCCCCCAATGGAACCTTCCAAGTACTTCAACATCATTCAGTTCCCTAAAGGACTAAAAAATAATTGTAACATCTGGCATTTATATAGTACTTTAAGGTTTGCAAAGGGCTTAATAAATATTGTATTTTATCCTCACAACAACTCTATGAGATGAAAGGTAAAAGATTCTTAGCAAAAAATTAGCATAAAAGTTCTTAGCAAATTTGTTAATAATGACAAGGCTTAGAGGAGGAAGAGAAGGGGGAAGGAGAAAAAGGGAGATAACTGAGGACAGAATGAGAAGAGAACATCTTGCTTTAGTCTGACTCTTCCAACAACATTTCCTAAGCTGGTGCTTTTCAGAAAGGACTCCATGGTGAGGCAGTTTTCGTGATCCAGCATACTTTATAGCTAGTGACCTGAATGTACCCTAGCAGCATTTCCTTGTGGTCTAAGTTTTAGTTACTTAAGTTCCATCCTCTGCTCTTTAATTTAATGTGCAATTGGAGAGCCCAACTTCATTGTCGGCAGAGATCCGAGTTCACTGACCCACTCTGCTCTGGGCTTTTTAGAATATTTATCGGTAATAAATTCTTTCTTCCAAGAGTCTCAGATTCAATTTTTCCATCAGTAAATCAACAAATATGGAAGCAAAGGAAATGGCACCTAGGTGGAATACTGGATGGAGGGCTAAACCTGGAATCAGGAAGATCTGAGTTCAAATTTGACCTCAGATATTTGTTAGTTGTGTGACCCTGGGCAAATCATTTTACCTCTGCCTCAGTTTCCTTATTATAAAAAATGGGTATTAAGAAAAACACCACTTCAGAGTTTTTGAGAGAATCAAATGAGATAATATTTGCAAAGTACTATATAATGCTATCATTATTATTAATAATAACACTAATAGATAATGCCACAGCAGTTGGGATTTGGGAGTTAGGAGACTTGGGTCTGAATCCCCTCTTCCATATTCCCTGGCTATGTAATCGTGGCAAATCACTCAATCCCTTTGAGCCTTAGTTTGCTCTTTTGTAAAAGTGAGGATATCACCTGTGGCACTCAACTAACAAGGCTGTTGCTAAGTTCAAATGAGATCATGCAGGGAACCTTAAAGCACTTTATTAATGTCAATCATCACCACCATCACTATTATCATCACCACCATCATCTCAAATCTGGGCTTTGGTAAAGAAATATGAACTACTCTCTCTGCCTCCTTTAAATTCATCATGCACACCATCACCACATGAGTCTTCTTAAAACACTGCTTTCTTTAAACTAATAAAAAATTCACCTTGTTTCTACATTGTTCAAGTATAGCTTACTTACTCTGCCATTTAAGGCCCTCTCTAAGTTGATTCTACCCTTTCCCCCCGCTCCTTCAACAGTATTTAATTTTTTTCTCATTACATGTAAAGAAAATTTTCAACATTCATTTTGGTAAAATTTTTGAGAGGAAAATTTTTCTCCCTCCCCTCCCTAAGGAATGATTCTACCCTTTTATTGGCTTGAGTTTAACCATTCTCTTCATTGTCTCTTACCTATTTCATCTCCCATGACATTTAGTGTGCTCATTTCTGTTTCTGGGCCTCCACTCATGCTAAGTGGGAAAAATGTAGAAGTAGAGGAATGATGATGTTTTGAGAGGTGCAGGGAGAGAAGATGGGGAATGGAGCGACAGCTGTCTAAATTGCATCAAGTTTCCTTTTACACGGATACCTGGCTTCTCACAAACATGATGGGGGTTTGAGGACTTTGCAGAAAACTAGACTTGTGGGGAATCTGATGGCCTTACTTCATAGATGAAGGGTGTCACTTGGCCAGGGGATTTAGCTACTTCTATTTGGCCCCGGGGGCAGAACCAGGAGTAAGGGGGAGGGGAATTGCAAGGAGTTAAGCTTAGGTTTGACGTCAGCAAAAACAATTAGAGTATGAAAATGGAAAAGGCTGTCTTGGCAGGGAGATGGTTCACCCCCCTCAGAGGTCTTTACAGCAGAGGATGCATGATCACTTGTCAGTATGTTGCAGTGAGGTTTCTTTTTGGGTATGGGTTGGGTTGGATAGTCGTTGATAGTTCTTCTAACTCAAAAATTCTGTGATTTTTCAGTGGTTCCTGTTTCTCTCTGGGATCAAATGCAAGCTCTTCAACTTGCCCATTAAAGCCCTCTGCAACCTGGCTTTCACTCGACTTTCCAGCCTGTGCTTTATTCTACATCATTGCTCTTCCTACGTGTTGTGTTTCCACCCAAGTTCTTCAAATCTGGCATTCTGCCTCTTGCCTGTGTGCCACTACACAGGCTGTCCCCGTGCATGTATCTACTTCCCCCATGCTTTGATCTCTTAAAATCATACCAGACGTTTCACCTGCTCTGTAAAGCCCTTCCTGATTCCTCTGGCTCTCATGTGATCTTAACATTCCTTGCATGTTCTATTTGCTGGTAGAATGAAAGTTCCTTCAGGGCAGGGGCTGTTTTTCAGTTTTGTTTTTGTATCCCCAGCTAGCATCATGCCCAACAAATGCATGCTGAATGAGATGACTTATGTGTAATGTGTGTGAAATACTATTTAGAAAAGGTAAACACTTTACTCCCCTTTTAATCTTAGTCTCTTACTCTTCATCTACATTGTCACTTTTTGAACTACATGTCCGATGCATTTTCTCTTTTTTAATTTGTATCATGTTGGTGGAACCCCTTTAGCTAAAGAATGAATGAACGGAAGAACATTTATTAAGTGCTTATATGTCCCAAGCGCTGTGCTCAGCATTTACTATTCTAAGTAGATACGTGGTAGACATCTCAAACTCAATATATCTAAAACAAAGTTCATTATCTTCTCTCTAAAACCCTCCCCTCTTCCAAACTCCTTATTAATGCTGAGGGCATCATCATCCTTCTGGACACCCAGGCATGCAATTTCAGCGTCATCCTTGCTTCCTCCCTTGCACTCAGCCCACACCTTCGCATCCTCACTTGTACACATTTCCCTTCTCTCCACTCGTGCAGGCCCCACTCGGCTGAAGGCCCTCGTCCCCTCACACCTACACTATCTGTACAACTTGCTGTTTGGTCTCCTTGTCTCAAGTCTCTCTACCCTCCCATCTATCCTTCACAGAGGGAACAAAGTGATGTTCCTAAAGCCCAGGCCTGATTCCCCCTTGCGCAGGGAACTCCAGTAGCTTCTTCTTAGCTCTAGGATCAAATATAAAATCCTCTGTTTGGTTTTAAAGTCCTTCACAACCTGGCCTCCTCCTCCCACCTTTCCAGCCTTCTTGTGCCTGCCTCTTCTACTTGTACCCTTCTATTCAGTGACACTGACCTCCTGGCTGCTGTCCACCTAATACTCCATCTCCTGACTGCTGTCTCTCATGCTTGGAATGCCTCCTGACTTCCCTGGCTTCCTTCAAGATTCAGATCTAATCTCATCTTATAGGAGGCCTTTCCCAGTTCCTGCCACTGTAGTATTAAGACTGATCAGAACAGAAGTGGCAAACACATGGCTTTGAGCCCAAACCAGATTAAAATGTAATTGGGAAATATTTTTAAAAAATAAATAAAAGTACAATAAAACACAGATATATACTAACATGGTTTTAATATGTATCCCACAGGGACATTTAGTGACCCCTATTTTTATCTGAGTTTGACACTACTGGACTAGGAGCCCTTAGGGTATGGTACCATGATAGACAGCAAAGTCCAGGGGTACATAGCACAGATGGCAATGCCCTGGGGTCCCAAGAGTGTAGAAGGAAATATGGGATAGCCCTCGGGACTGAAAGTATATTAGCAGGGTGTGGTGAAGAAGAGACAATGGGTATATATAATGTGGGAATAGATCTGGTCAGGGATAGAGCCATTAGGAATTGAGCAGGTAAGATCCCTTTCCTGCTCATTCTTATGAGGCTATCCTTGATTTCCAATAGGGATCGTCAAAACCAGGACTCTTCAGAACATCTGAACAGATTAGGCTTAGGATTTGACACCTCTTCTGGAATGGAAGGCTAGAAAGATGCCATAAACAAATATACTATAGCTTTTATCCTAGCAAAGGTGTGGAATGAAAGGCCTTTCTTTAACCATCTACTTGAACAGGATTTCCTCATATGTTAGGTCCCATATGGGCTGAGTACCAAATAAAAACAACGAAAATGTCAGAATTTTTATAGGTGCCAACAAAACTCCTGGGATTCATAAGATTAAGAACAGAAAGGAACTTTTTGGGGGGCAGAGGTGGTGGTTATCATACAAGGAAGCTGTGGAAAGAATTGTTTCCCTTTGAGTAATAAGACCATTATTTTGCCTTAGTAGCAAAACAAAACAAAAGCTGCTGTAGGCTTTCAGACAGGTGCTTCCCAAAGCAATCAGATGAGTACTTTCAAGCGGCAACAACATACACTGTACTCTGAAAGGAGAAAAAACATTCTGGTCTCTTGCCCTGTGGTGCCAAGAGACAATAGCAGTAATGAATAATCTGGTGAGCAGAAATGATGCAGAGAGGGGCAGGATTGCCAAGATTAGCATGAGGGCATCATCCAGCCCCAGCATATGTCAGAGAGGTGGGAAGATAGGCAAATAAATGTACTTAATGGAAGCAAATAGGTTTACTCACTGAGCCAGCAAAACAGGAAGGTGATGCTGAAACTCACCCACAGATGCACCATATGGTATTTCCTGGAACTGACCAAATTCCCTTTGGGAAAGACTATTTATTCTAATTGAGAAATTCATCCAAATGCATTCAAAAGACAGGCCAAGAAGATATGGGGCCACAACTAAACTTAAATGTTTTAAAAATCCTTTGGCTCAAAGCCCTTCCAGCTTGGTAGTACAGGCCTGAGCTTGTGTTCCACAGGTATACGTGGGATTGCCTTTCGCCATGAAAGGCCACTGGACGTGGGGGCCACAGCAACTTATGAAAACCTCTACTAAGACGTGGCGGGGCTGTAATCTACAGTAGTGGAAGGAGTACTCACAAAATCACAAATCTTTCAAAGTATTTGGAGAAGTAAGCTACTTTGGCAGTACTTCTGAGGCCAAAGACAGAGGGATAGGCGAAGTTCCTAATAAATTAGGAGCATCCAGGATGGACGATTTAGCACTCAGTTTCCAGGAAGGGTGTTTCAGTGATCAGGACACTAAGGACCCCTCTTAAGCTTCAATGATGAAAGGTGGGGGTGGTCTCATATATGAAGAGCTACACGGATCAGAGTGACTAGACCTTTCTTATTTTCACCAAAGAAAGGAGGGAGAACAAGATGAAACCAGAGTAGGAGGATTTAGGCTTTTGGAAGATACTGGAAAAGATTGTTCAGAGGTCCCAGAAATCTATGCCCATGGAGGATGGGAGACATACCATCTGTATGGTAGCAGTTTTATTGCAGTACTTTAATTTAGTGTAATACTAGCTAGACAGAATTCTTGGTGTTCTTTTTCAGCCTTCAGGCTGGGAGAACAAAACCCTTGAGAGCAGGAGGTGCAAGGTTGAAAAACAGATCCAAAAGAGAAGTAGCACATTTGCACAGCCCCATGGTAGATGAGTTCCATGAAGTCATATCAGCAACAAGGTACACACTGACTCTTCATCAATGGGTGCCAAAAAGACCACGTCAGTAATCCTGATTCCTGCACTAGCCGGCAAAAAGTAGTCTTGCCTTTTGGATCAGTGCTGCTGGTATTATAACACTCAGTGATAAGTTTAAAAAATAAACAATGATGTTTTCCATGACAAGTTCATGTTTCTCTGTTGTTGTTTTAGTAATACTAAATCATTAAGAAGGGCTTACTTTGTATATTACTTACTTACTGACTTCATTTTCCAAATTTATGTGTCTCAATTTCATGTTACTAGCTCCCCCATGGCCAGTGAGCTATCTGGTCCTACAACATCATCTTGACTTATGAGAGGAATAACATTCGGCATCTTTAAACCTTAATCCTCAGGTCTGAATTCCCAAATCTGAGCCTCATACTCCATGTAAATTTCTAAGAAAAGGAAGGCCTGGTGGAAAAAGAGCTGGCCTACATCAGATACACACCGCCTATGGGATCCTGAGTTAGTTACTTTACCTTTCAGTGCCCCAAGTAGTCTGCTAAGCCTCTAAAGTGGTACAGAAGGTACTGTTCTTCACAAGGACCTCCCTATATTGATGAAGCTACAGATTTAATAAAAAAACAGGAGAGGGGACTAGGCACTTTTTTTTCTTACAATAAGCTATTCTGCCCCATCTCACTCCATGCTGTAGAATATACAAGAGACAGACAGAGCTGGCTTTCTGGAAGGCTTTTGCCCAGCAAAGCTAGAAAACAACTCACCTGGATTCTCTTTTTTTTCTTACCACAGCATGTCATGACCTCCAGAGAACTTAATATGTTACTCTGTAATATGAAATTACTACTATTTCTTCACATTAGACAGAAGGTCCTAAAGTTTCATACATACGGGAGACATTAGGGCACTTAGGAGTCAAAGACTATAGGTTAGGCTAAAATAAACTATAGGCAGTCTTGCAGTGGAAACAGAGTTATTTCATATAATTCTTCTTCCTGTGTCCGATAATCCAGCCAAACTTTCCCATCAGCTGTGTTCCCTGAACTACACATTCTGTCTGCTACACCTGTCATTTGCCTTTGGACAAGATGTGTCCCAAGCCTGGAATGAATTTCCTCTTCACCTCTGCCTCAAAGAACCTTAGCATCCTTTAAGGCTTGACTCAGGTACTTCATCTTAGGCCAATGAAGCTTTTTCTGATTTTCCTAATGATAAGTATTCCCTCCCTTCTCAAATTATCTTGTATTTGTGTATCTCTGTACATGCTGTATCCCCTAGTAGACTGTAAATTCCTTTTTCCCTTTTTTTTGTCTCTGTATATCCAATACCTTGTACAAAATTGGCACTTAATATTTGTTGAACTGAATGAAATTGAATTGGAAAGCATACTGGGGCTGGCTGAAGGCAAGAGTTGGGTTCAGGTCTTCATTCTACTACTTTATCAGAGGTATGGCTATGGGCAGGCCTGTAAATCTCTGCCCTGCATGTCACATTGGGTTACACTGGAGGATGAAACATCAAACATGAAAGAACAAAATCTTAAACGCAACACAAAAGTAAGATATTATTAATAATAACAAACATAAAGAATATGCATATCTATATTACATCTACTTCCATCATATTTTGCCATCACCTTTATAATTTATTTCAGAACCTCTACACAATGTTATTTTCATAAAACAGCAAAAAAAATACTGTCAACAAAATCATAGCTATTCCAGAAGTTAACTGGCGGGGGCAAGATGAGGCTGCGTATTCTCCAAGGCCGTGCTCTAGTTCAGTGAATTACAATGATGGAGTATTTCTATGAACAACAACACCATTTAAATGATTAGTACTTCATGGTTTGAAAAATCCCCTCTCTCTTTCTCCCTACTTGCTTAATAATGTTCTTTGGATTTGGCCACTTCGTTTCAATAGATTCAAATGAGCAGGAAAGCTATGATTTCTGTGATCAGAAGTTAAGGAGCTCACCTCAGGCATGATTTCGATCTTCTCATAGCGGCGTTTAAAGGGCAGGGCAAGTACCTCGGCCCGGCGATAGGACATCGCAGGGGGCTGGCAATCGATCATGAGGTCCATCCGATGGGACTGGGCAGGCGGAGGTTGGGTATATTGCTCAGGACAAACCACATTGAGGGGCTGGAGAGGCAGCAGAGGCGGGGTTAGGGAACAGAAAAGGAAAGCAGTCTGTCTCTGAATCCAAGCTGCCTCTCTCCACTGTGGTCGGCAGTGACTCAGCCCACTCCTGCCCCCAAGCCACTTTTCCAGGCACTCAGGCTGGCACTGCTGGAGGCATGTTTGGCTCCTCTTCTTCCTCCACCTCCCCCATTATCTAATCTAATGAGGACAACAGACATGGTGTCAGAGGACCTGGATTTGGATACTGGCTCTGCTACTTACTACCTGTGTGACCTTGGGCGAGTCCCTTCTCCTCTCTGGCCTCAGTTTCCTCATCTGCAAAATGAGGGGGTTGGATGAAATGATCTCTAATATTACTCCCAGCTCTAATTGAAGAATCTATGATCTACTTACAGGCAGAACCCCTCCCCCAAGTAAAATGTAGGCTCCTTGAAGGTTTTTGTACTGCCTTTGCCTCTGGCATCTAGCACAGTACCTTGGCACATAGTAGGCACTTAATAGATGTTCATGAGAATGGACTGATCTTAAGTCTTACTGAATCCTTTACCAGTCTCTAGAGTTGCCCATTCACTTTACATCTATAGCAAATGCTTTAAGCTGAGCCCCTCACCTTCTCTCACACCACAAACTACTGTGACAGCCTGCTATCTCTTCTCCCTTTCTTAAATCTAGTTCCACTTGGCAGCTAGAATAATTTTAATTTTCAATGTGTAATTTCCGTGCTCAACAATCTATGCCATGTCTCTATTGCTGAATATATCAAATTTAAATTCCTATGCCTGACTTTCATGGCTTTTTATCAACTATACTTTTTCTAATATCAAATCCAATTTTTGTTACTCTTTAAAGTGGAATTTTTGTTCCATCCAAGCAAATGTGCTTCCTTGCTCCCTGCTTTAGAAATAAGCCTTTAAACATGCTATCCCCCCTACCTGAAAGCTTCACCTATTTCCCTTCATCCTGCCATTCCATACCCTGATAATCAGAATCTAAATCAGGGCTAAGATTTCAAGGGAATCCACAAACTTGGATGGGGAAAAAAAAGTGTATCTTTATTTCAATATAGATAGCTTTCTTTGTGATCTTTTATGTTTTATGCATTGGGGTCCAGAGGCTTCTCTAGGCTGCCCAAGAAGTCTACGACACAAACAAGGTTAAGAATCCCTGCCCTTGGTAAATCTCCTCTACTAAGTTTTTCTTGATAAATAAACCCTACCTAACCAATCACTCCTTATCATTACTCATGTACAACCTGAGTTACATGATACAGTAACACTTATCATCTGGCACTCTTAAATAGCTGGCACTGAAACAAACCTTGTAGGTGTAGACAATCTCTAGGGAGACCCCACAGCCTCACTGCGAAGAGATAAAGACACTAAGGACACAGGCAATGGAGGCAATGAAGAGCAGAACACCAGTGATAGGAAGAAAGAAACGCAGCTCAATGGGAAAGTGTGGCAAGCGCTTCTTGGCAGAGAAGGAAATGGTAAGAGATCACAAAGACACCAAAGAGGGTGCGAAGCTGTTCCAAAGGCCTGTAAGCTACATCTCATTCTCTAATGTCAGGAAACTGAGGTGCTGTAATACTTGCATTTATTTACGCTTTGCAAATCTTCTTAAGTTGCTCTCCTGTTCCCGGGACTCCTCAATTAGACCCTGTAAAGTCCCTGAGGAAAAAAAGCCATTTCTGATCCTCTCTTTATCACTCTGCATTAGCTGTCAGATGATTCTCCTGAACTGGGACTACACTGCAAGCTCAGCCTTTGGGTCCCTCTCTGCGGGAGGCAGCCTTACGATATGTTCTTCACCACCAGGTGGTGCTGGAGTCACATAACAAGCAGTGATCTATCTCTTGGGCATCCAAATGGCAAATTTCAGTTCTTTAATACAAAAATGCTTTAAAAGATTAACTTACTAGAACATAAGTATTTTACAAACTAATCAAAAAAAAAAACAAACTAAAGAATTATAACCTTTCAGAGCAATGGAAAATAAAAACACAAATCTCCTACAGACAGTAAATTCAGGAACCAATAATTGCCCCTTTAATACCTAACCACATCAGACAATCTAGAGCTCTAGGCTTTCCCTTAACTCACCACAAGCCAGCTGAACATGGTATTTCTCTCCTTTAGAACAGTCTGCTTCCTCCTTCCTTGAATTCCTTTCTTTTTACCTCTGGAATTGTCACTAACATAGTTCTGGGTACCTTTTTTTTTAACTTTCCTATCCAACTCCAATTTCAGCCCAAAAGTACTTTTTTTCTTGCTCTTCCTCTTTAGAAGTGACACACTGGACTTATTAAAACATTAGTACATAATACAGAAGCCTAAATACTTACAAAGCATGGTTTAAATAACTAAAAATTTAGTAAGAAGACAAAAGAATGGAAGAGGCTTTTAACAATTTTCTTACAGGAATCAATGGCCATAGAGGTACTCAAATTACTCCAGCATCTCTCCTCCTGCAAATATATGCAAGTATATTTTTGTTGTTTCAGGCATGTGTTTAAATGAGAATGTTTTTGCAATAGTTTTCTTCCCACGTTTTACTAAAATTAACATTAAAATTAGACTACATTTCCTGAACACAAACAGGTGAGGTGGTAAGGAGAGATAACTTGAAGGTTATGAGAAAGAAGACAGTTAAGCTGGGAGTAAACACTTGCTAGGGATCATTAACAAGGTAGATAATTGAGACTTAAATTTCTTGAGACTTATTTTTTGTTCCTATTAGATATTAAGCTCTCTAAGGTAGACTGTGTTTCCTACTTTTGTTGTAATTCTCCTTAGTGATAGAATATTATACTTTTTTTTTACAGTGGATTTTCCAGTAATGCTGTTTATTGTCAGGAAGCAAGGAAGCAGAGTGGATAGAGCATGTGCTGGGAATCAGGACGACCCAAGTTCAAATTCTACCTCAGACATTTATGGCCTATGTGATTGTGGGCAAGTCGCTTAACCTATCTCAGCCTCAGTTTCCTAATCTGTAAAATAAGGAAGGTTGGAGTTGATGTATCTAAGGCCCCTTCCAACTGTAAATATATGGTCCCATGTCAATACCAGTAATTCAGATTATAGCTTTCTGTGCCATTATCTACCAAATAATTCTCTCTTAATTAATAAGATAATTTCAATATAATTATCTATCATTTACATTTAGAAATAGTTTATAATTATTTTATATTTATTTAAATATAATTTTAAAGATAACAGAAGAATCTTATTCGAATTTATTAGTTAATTAAGGATAGACAACAGGACAAACAACTCCAAGGGAAAAGAAGAACCATTTCAACAAACATTTCAAGAAATAATTCAAAGAGAAAGAAAGGAAGGGGAAAACAGGAAGTAATACAAAGAAGAAATTAGATTGGTAATCTGCCTGGTAGTAAGGATAGCGTTATACAAGAAATGCATAAGTTACTGAAGATTCCCTTCAAGAATTATGAAAGAAGTCTTAAAATAACATGAATTTACTTTTTAACAGTGCTGTTTTAATCACAAATCTGTCCTACATCCTATCACTGTCTTTTGGCTACATTTCCTAGTATTTAAGTTGACTATAGCTATTCCTTTTCATATTCTGACCGAGATCATGGCTATCCAGATTTCCAGATTCCACACAGACCTAGTGTACTTCGTGTGTGTGTGTGTGTGTGTGTGTGTGTGTGTGTGTGTACATACATGAGAGAGACAGACAAACAGAGAGATAAAGAACAATCATTCTGGGCACACTATGCAGGCTTTTTCAAACAGCATGTCACTGACAGAATTACAGTAATGACCATGGCTATGCAAAAACCATTGAAATGCTTTTCACTTGGAATCAGGATACTCTCTTGTTGAAAAAAGAAGGTGGGAAGGGGGAAGTGATTTTTTCCTATTCACTTAGTAGGCATGTAATAAATGTTTATTAACTGAATGACTATTCCTTTTAGTCTATGTTGGAGAGGAGGTGCTTGGTCTAGTTTTAAAATAATGTACAGGTAAAAATAAGTATTAGTTCACTCTACTTTCTTCCATCATGCCTCTTTTCAATGAAAGCTTCTTTCAAAAAGCAGACATCATAGCTTCCTTTTCTAACTTTCAGGAGTAGCTGAGACACCTTCACAGATATCTCTTTAAATAAGATGACACAGAAACCTCCAACCGTGCATGCAGGAAGTTTGGCCCATATGAGGTAGAATTTCTGACAGCACAGTAGACATCAAGTTCATCTCATCACCTGTACTTCCTTGAGCAGCTTTGACACCTGAATGAAATTGAGCCTCGTATCGATAGGACAGTAGATACATTTCATGGCCAAAGGTTGGTAGGGAGCCAGTGCATCTAGGTATGAGAAGTCAGGTTCTGCAGAAAGAACAAAAAAAGACTTTAAAAGAAAAGGAGGCAACAAAGCAGGTCTCTACCAATGGAATAGCTAGCTGCTACTTCCATTTTCTCAATTTTCTATTTCTATTCCTCTATTGGATTGTGGGCTCTAAGGTTTCTTTTAGCTGTAAATCTATGATCCAATGATCCCATCTCCTCTTTTCTTCATTTGAAAGGGCCAACTTCAACCCTATCACCTTTTTTTCTTAATAGTTAAATTGGTGCTTTAATAAAACTCCCAAAGGTCCAAAAAGATACTTTACTATTCCAAAAGATTAGTGATTTCACTGGTGTGGACCTACTGCCTCCACTGATTCCGACCACAGTAACAGAAAGTACTTACAAGGGGTTGTGGTCAACTACATGAAATCAGCTTAGTTCATGTTTTCAAGAGATTGTTGAGGATGGGGGAAGATTACAAGCAGTATTACCTCATAAAACACTCTCTGTTAACTCATTTGGTTTTCTGATATAGAAAAAGACCGGATTAATTTTCAAATCTCAAAAATAATGAATGATCAGTGCCTCAAAAAGTTGGAGAAATGTGACAAAGCCAATGCCAGTGCACTGCAGACAGACCCATTCTAACCACCACATTTACTTCAGGCTGCCCTGATGACCAACCAGCCAGAGTGGGGCGTCACAGAGTACACCTGGCCTAAGGAAACCGAGGCTTGAGTCCCAAAACTTCCACTTGAATTTGGACAAGTCATGTAACTTGTCTGAGTCTTAGCTTCTCATAAGTAAAATGGGGATGATAAGAACATATGTACCATTTACCTTAACATCCTATATTTCCGTAAATATGAATGATTGTTATTACTGGTGCTTAAATGTCTTTTACTTTAAGCAGGTTTCTACAATTCTTTTATTGGTTGTTGTCCTTCGTTCTTGCAGAGGACCAAAATGCTACGGACATCACTATGCTACGGACAAGTGTCCGACTGCGGCTAATCAGACCAATATGAGCTTGGAACGTTCTACCACAGGTTGGGCACCAATAGTCCATGTGAACATTTGCAGTGGATTTTCTAAATCTGCACATCTTGCATTTCTTTTGAGCTACTTTAATTCTGCTTTGCTCATACAACACAGCATCTTCTCTGGTGGGGGCACGCCATGCTGCGTGGTCCTGTGCCAGTGTCTCCCATGTCACACAATCAATTCCAAGGTTAAGAGACCTTGAGAGTGTCCTTGTATTGCTTCTTTTGACCACCATGTGAACGCTTGTCCTGTGTGAATTCTCCATAAAATAGCCTTTTTGGCAAGCGTACGTTTTGTATTCAAACAACGTGGTTAGCCCATTGGAATTGTGCTCTCTGCGCACAACTCTGCCTTTTACTTTAAGCAGGTTTCTACAATTCTTATGTAACTCTCTACTTAAGTCTGAGTTGTAAGGTTCAAATAACTTTTTGTTGGTAAAGTTTTTTTTTGAGTGCAAACTTTAAGGCACTGTATACATGATAGCTCTTATTATTGTTTCCTCATCTGTAAAACAACACTTATACCATCTACTTCACAAGGCAGTTGTGAGACTTAGAGCATTATGTAAACCTTAAAGCACTGAATAAATGGGAACCATTAACTAAACTCAATGGTTCAACACAGCATTTGCTGAATGCCTTTCAAAATGCTGTAGTAAGGACTTCAGTTGGAACTGCCTGACTATAAAGGTTGGGAAGACATGAGTGGATCCTCTCTGGAGACTGTGTGCCAGCTTCAAAATCAGGAAGACCGAGGTTTATGTCCTGTCATTGACACACACTTGCTATGGATCACTTTTCAGTATTCTTAGGCAATTCTCTAAGACCCCCAAGTTGCAGAGAAAATGCCGACCTGAACAGGTTAGAGGGAATTCCTTTATTTGGAAGTTCTCTCTATCAATGAACTCACTGGTTCAATTTCTATGCCTAATCTATCACCTCCAAATTCTTGTAGCTACTAAAGCTCAAAGTTATTTAGGAAGTACTTTACAGCTTACAGAAGACATGGTTCTCACAATAAACCTCAGATGTATATAGCACAAGTATGATTAACCTCATTTTCTGGATGAGAAAGCTGAGGCTCAGATAGGGGAGGTGACTTGTCCTGGGCATACAGCTAGTAAAAATTTTTTGATTCCAAGGGCAGTGCTGAGACTGCTTCTCAACTCCTCTTTCTCCTTCCTGTTCTGGGAATGTAATCCTGCCTACCTTTAGTTTTGAACCAGGTAGTGGGGCGAACATTTCTGAATGCATAAATGTGTGGGGAAAGTAAGAAAAATACAAGGGCCCAGAAAGGAATCCTCTGCAAACCTACTTGGCAAGGCCACACCCACGTGGGCAATCAAGCACTGGCTTAGACAGTTTGTAGAGAAAATTACAAAACATTTGATAACATCTCATCATTGTTAACCATAGAATTTTCCATTTAAGTTTTATTCTGCAGCTTGATCATGGTGTGCGGGTGACCCTTGATCTGAATGGTCCCGTGCCAGTGAAATGTTAAGTTCTGGCAGATCTAATCCAAGCTGTAACAAGTTTGAGAATGGAAATGGCAACACACTATCTGCCTAGAGTGTCTAGGTGGTGCAGTGGATAGAGTGATGGGCCTGAAATCTGGAAGACTCATCTTTTTGAGTTCAAATCTGGCCTCAGACACTTACTAGCTGAGTGACCCTAAGCAACTCACTTAATCCTGTCTGCCTTAGTCCTTCAGTTGTAAAATGAGCTGGAGAAGGAAATGGCAAACTACTCTAGTATCTTTGCTAAGAAAGCCCCAAATGGGGTCACAAAGAGTCAGACACGATGGAAACGACTGAACATATCTGCCGATCATCTGTGGATCACCCTCACTAGATTTAGAGAGGCTCATCAGAAGGTTGGCCACTGGGGCTGGGAGTGAGGAGGATGATGCATTTCTCTGCCAAAACAACGCTCAAAGACCCTCTCCTAAGCCAGCGAGGAGTTCACGCTCACCAAGTTATAGAGCCCTGGTGCACTGAGGCATATATCTTTCCTGTTTGCAAAGATCTTTCACTCCTATAATTTCATTTTATCATTCCAATACCATAAATTAGGGGCAGGTATTACTTCTATCTGACAGATGAGCAAACTGAAGCATAGTATGATTAAATAGTTTGCCTAAGGCACAAAATGAGTTAGTGGCAGATACAAAGCTTAAATACCAATAAGGTACAAATGGGAGAGTTGGAATCCAGTAGTGAAGTGAATTTTCTGCAGTTGAAGACCAGAAACAATGTGAAAAATAATATGGAAATACTAGTTTTTCCTTTGCTCCAGTATTAGGCTGTACTTCATCTTAACCTGTTTCCGTAGGGAGGATTAGTCTTATAAATGACTGAGAAATGTCAACCATTAAGAACAATCCTAGTGTCTTTTCATTTGGTAAAGAGGTTGAGTCAAGGAATTAAAATGCTTTGAAAATAGGGTAGATATAAGAAAACAATCAATGAGTAAAATAATCTGATTAATTTTTTTGGTGGTAGCGATAAGGCTAGAGGAAGCCTTTCATAAAGCAGCTTTTACTGAACTAAGTGAAATGTGGCCTCTGTCAAACTCTGCACGGTTTTGGCATTTTGTGTTTGCAAATTTATTTCCTCTTAGATTATGAAGGAGTTGACTAATTCGAACAAAACCTGGTACACTGATATTGTGATACGGTTTACATCTAATCTGTAGGTCAGTATATCAGTTTGAAATAAAAATGACAAATGCTAAGTTCTGAAATGGGCCTAATGGTTTGTAATTTTTAAGACTTTATTGAAACAGTCTATAGAAAAATGATTACATTATATGATATTTATAGTTCACAGAGCCACTACCTGTAGAAAAATTAAAGCTCAAAGACATAATAATTTAGTTAATTTTAACTTCTAATTATATAGTATCTTTTAAAGCCAAGTGTGTTAAGTAAGTATGAACAGAACATGTGCTATCTCTTACTTATTTTCTTATCAATATTCTTAATACCTAGTAGTAGAGTCAAGCTTCAACTGCTAATGACAAGTATATACTGGAACATAGCAGCTATCCTTCTATAATATATAGGGGTGAGTCATTTAGGAAGTCTATAACTGTTTGATGTGATTTTAAAGAATACTATATATTAAGAAAGTGACTTAAGTACCATCAAAAACTACTCAAGTGAAAATGAAAACAAAAAAATAGCAGATGCTTCTATGGACATCAGAATGCCCTCTTCCCTTTTGGCCTCACTAATTCAAAATTGAGTATGAACATGACAAGGTAAGTTATCTTAGTTTTCCAGGGTATGAAAAAAAATAGAGAAAAGGTAAAGACTATGTTAAATGCAGTTTATGTTCTTATGTTAATCTAGATGAAAGACAAAATAATGTTATAAAAATCTTACATTTCAAATTTAGAAATTTGAAAATAATAATAAAAAAGTAATTTTTTTCCTATTGGCGCTTTCTTCCCCTTTGCCTTCAAACATGGATAGGTCTCTCCAATCTTAAAAGAGACTTTCTCTTGTCCCTGATACTTTCTCTAGCTTTGGTCCTATTTCTCTCTTTGCGTTGACAGCCACCATTCTGAAATGACGGGTTGACACTTGCTGCCTCCATTTTCTTGCCAACCTTGCGCTCAAACTTCCATTCTCACAATTTACAGAAAATTACTCTCTTGAAGATGACAAAAACTTTTTTCCTAACAAATTCAAAAAGGCTTTTCTCAATTTTCCTTTCCACAACTTTTCTGCTGTGTTTAAAACTTGATAACTTTGCTCTTTTTGAAACTCCATCGGGTCTTGGCTTCCATAAGGGTATATAATTTATGGCCTAACACTCTGATCCCTCTTTTTCCTACTTCTTAACTGTGGGTATTTTCAATGACCAGCCCTTGGCTCTGTTTTATTTTCAGCACACTAACTCTCTTTCTGAGAGAACTTATTCATTTTATGGCATCAATATTCATTTTCATAAATATGATTCTGAAATCCTTAATCCAGCTCTGACTTCTTATTAACTCCAGCTGTGATCCTCCATCTGTCTGCTGGACATTTCCACATAAACGTTCTAGTGTCACTTTGCATTCAATATACTCAAAATCGAATATATACAATCCATTCATGAAAAATTTATAAATAAAAAATCCTACTTTTGCTTCAGTCTACTCACCTACACTCCAGTCCTAATAACAGAAATAGTATTCTATCATTCATTGATTCATTGATTAAAACATACTAGAGACAAAGTTTAGATGACACATGATTATTGCCCTCAAATAGCTTACAATCTGGAATGGGGATAAGCTACAGATATAAATTACTATAATACATAGTATAATAAAAATAGCTAGCATTTACGTTGTGATTTATTATTGCCATTTTATAGATGAGGAAAATGAGGTTGAGTTTAAATGACTTCCCCAAGGTCACACAGCAAGTGAATTTCGGAAGCAGGCCTTGAGCACAGAGATTTCTGACCTCCTATGTCTAATAAAAACATTTTAAGATTTCCAAAATAAAGTCATATGGGAGGTCCATGAAAAGGTTGTTATTGACAGGGGAATCAGGGAAGGTTTCAAAGCAAGTAGAATTTAAATTGACTTAAAGAATGGGAAGGAATTAAAAAAAAAAACAGAGGGGATGGAAGGGGATACAGGAATAGGAAAGATTATGAACAAAGGCATAGAGGCAAGAAAGTACAAGGCATTTGAGAGGTGCGGAGTTCTCTAGTTTGGCTGGTGCATAGAACACATGGAAGGAAATAACCTGAAGTTAAGACTGGAAAGGTAGAGTGGAGTCACACTGTGGACAGCCTTGAATTCAAGATGAATGATACTAAGTTAGAGGAGCGACATCATTACATCTGTAAACTAGGGAATGTGGAAGCCCAAGATCTAGGGGCGCCTATAATTAGATAATTAAGCCAAAGTTTACTAAGATAAGGGTATAATTTAAGGAAGTGTGTCCTGGACCTCTTGTAAATCTAAATCACTGACTGAGCCCAATATTTTTTCCACAGAATATTAGTCTGACTAGAAAGTGGATAGATTGGCGCAGGAAAAAACAGCAGGTAGGGAGCAGAAGTTATTTTGTGACAGGTCAAGTGTATTGTCATGGGGACCTTTGTCTAAAGTGGTGGCAGTAGAAATAAGGAGTGGCTGGGTGTGAGAGTTGCTAACGATGGTGGAATCAACAGGCATCAGTGAGAGTTCAGATATGACAGCTGAGGGAGAGGGAAGAGACAATATCAACCCTAGTGTTTTGAACATGGGTGAATGTTGGTGTGTACCACTAATAGAAATAGCGAAGTCAGGAGGAGAAGAAAGTTTAGATAGAAAGATAATGATTCTGGCAAATTTGAGATGAGAGTAGGACAACTACGAGCCAGCTGGAGATGTTGGTCTAGAGCTTCAAAAAAAAAAGTCAAGGTTGGAGAGATACATCTTAGATTCACCTAGACAGAGGTCCTAAGTAGAAGTCATGGGAAACTGTCAAAAGAGAGAGTAAACACAGTCAAGAACAGAACCCTAGGGAACACCCACCTTAAGAAGTCAGGAAGAGAACAAGGATCATCAGAAAAAGATAGCAAAGGAGGGGTAAGTGAAGTTGGAGAATCAGGAAAGTTGGGATCTCTGAAGATAAAGGAGCAGAGGGTATCCAAGAAGATGGAATGGTCAACAATGTTCAATGAAACTAAAAAAGGTCAAGGAGGATGAGGGATGAGAAAAAGGCCATTATATTTGATTATTAGGTCACTGCTGACCTCGGAGAGAGAAGCAGGAGTACAGTGGTCGGGGTAGAGGCCAGAGCACAAAGAACGGGTGGTGTGGATATAAAGGCATCACTTTTATGACAATTTTAGCAATGAATAGAATGAGAGAGATGGAGTGGTAGCTAAATGGGCCAGGAGCAAGAATGTAAGGATTTGAGAAGAAATGAAAATTATTTTAGGCAGATGCGAAATAGCGACAAGAGATGGAGAGATTAAAGATATATGAAGGGGATGACTGATGGATTAAGATCCTGAAGTGGGAAAAAATGGGACCAAAGGCTCAGATAGATGGGATGAAGGGCTCAGATGGAGGAATAAGATTTAGTGAGGTCTTTAATGATTAAAGGGAAAGCAAGCAGATGATAATGCTGAGGAGTTTTGGGGAAAGGAACTGAGGATGGTCTCAATTTTCTTAGGGGTTAAATTATCTGTGATCAGCACTGGGAAGAAAGGCACAGCTTAGGGTTTGAGGAGTCCTGTAGACTGGCTGTGGAGAAGGAGATACACAGTCAGTATGACTACAGGGACTACCTGGCTGGTTACAGCCCACTGTAAATTTGTAGTAGATGAAGTTACTTCAGATTTGTAGCTCTCTCCAGAAATCCTTTGGCAGCCTGAGATGAGCAGAGAAACTGAACAGTAGGGGGAATCATCAGACTACAAACAGCAGAAGAACAAAGAAGAAAAAGCTGGTGATCTTTAGAGGGGGTTCCCCCTAAACTTGAGGCCTTTAAGTAAAGGCTGGTCAAGTAAGGGTCAGACAAGATGGCCTTTGAGGTCTCCTCCAGTTCCATGATTCTGTGTGTCCATAAAATATTGGTAGTAAGTCTAGTGTAGCATATGGATGGCAAACTTGCAGACTTATGGGTCAAGTACTCTGAGAAGATCAAAACTGAGTTTGACCCGCACTAAGTAAAATTGGAGTTTGTGGCAACAGCGCTCTCAGAAGTTAAAGCAGATCCATTCTTCCCATGGCTGGTTGTTAGCTCCTCCAATTTTACTTTGACCAAAGCAAAAGAATATCTGACAATCCCCCAGAACAGTCATTTTGGTCACCCTGGGGAACCTGTATCTCTTTTTTTTCTTTTTTTCTTTTGTAAGGCAATCAGGGTTGAGTGACTTGCCCCGGGCTAACACAGCTAGTGAGTATCACGTGTCTGAGGCCGGATTTGAACTCAGGTCCTCCTGACTGCAGGGCCTGCCTGTGCTCTATCCACTGTGCCACCTAGCTGCCCCATGGGGAGCCTATGTCTTAAAACGACTGAAGGGTCAAATATTGAGCTTTTAGGATACATGAAGTCTTTTTTTTTGGGGGGGGGGGGGGGGGGGTGAGGCGATTGGGGTTAACTGATCTGCCCAGAGTCACACAGCTAGTGAGTGTTATGTATCTGAGGCTGGATTTGAACTCAGGTCCTCCTGACTCCAGGGCCAGTGCTCTATCCACTGCGCCATCTAGCTGCCCCTACATGAAGTCTTAAAAAGAATGCTAGAACATGGCTCAGGGTAGTCAATTGCTATTGGTCACACTATCTGGCCTTGTCAGGGATATATTTTTTTTCCCCTGAGCAGTTCAAGTCTCCAGAATAAAAACAGCTTGCTATAGTTCAGATGATTCTTATCAAATGTCTCCAGAGGGACAGACATGGGAAAATAAGACTAGTTACTGGAATTAGTCTGTTATAGAGCCAGTTCATAGCTTTACTCTAGGAAGTGCCAAGTATTTATCTGAAATAGAGAATTAAGAAGAAAATACAACTATTAAGGGTGTGTGTGTATGTCTGAACCAATTTCTCTCTTTTTCTTACCAACTAGCTATGTGATCTTGGGTTAACTTGGAGCCTCTTTGGAACTTATTTTTTTCATAAGGCAGTTGGACTAAATAATCTGTCAGATCCCTTTGCTCTGACTCCCTGCTAGTATATAATTTAAGTGACTCTGTCTTTGAACCTTTTCCCTTGGCAGTTGTGAATCATAATGGGACAGACAAGAGTGATTTTCCTACTTACCTGTGAATATAACAGTGTTGAGACTAGATTTTCCCCAAAGTTCCATGAAATGTACAACATCTCCAAATCGGAGGGAGGGATGACCAGTGAAAACTACACATGGCTGTTTAAAATCATTGCTGAAGTCTCCATGGATACTGGGATAGTGCTTCAGTTTGTTGGTCTGAATGAGCTAGAAAAAATGTGAAAATGAAGATACATCAGACTGTCTATGATGAAAAGAAGTGCAAAGTCTTGCTATTTACTGCTGCAGAATGGCACTGCAGGTGGAAATGTACTCATGAAACAAAGCGACTTTATTTAAATTGGCCAAGTACCATCAAAGTTATGTAGTACGGCTTTCAGGGCAAAAAGCAATTAAGCCCTTTTGTTAATATCAACACACTTAAAATAAAGTTTTCTTCTATGAACCATGTTATCTGTCACTAATTTACTTAAGTGTGCCTATTTACTATCACACTTAATGTCATATGAAACACTAAAGAGTTTTCTTCCAAAGAGTCTACAATGTCATTTACTGATTGTATGCTATGCAAAGTGTTGTCTAGCAATTCATGTTTCATAATGTTAAGTTCCTCATTCAATTTTGGCAGCAGTACACATATAAAGCTCAAACAATGGACAATGGCAGATACTAGAGGGCCTAACCATCTGAAAATTTTGAATTGGGTATCTAATATTTGCTCCACTCGTGGGACATTTTCTGGGTATGCCTCTTCTACTATCTTGTGATGTGGCTAACATGAGTTCAGTCAAGCCCTTGGGGACCCAGACATCATAGTTATCATTGGCTACTGCCTAGCTCTCAAAATTGTAAGAGATTCCAAGCCTCAGGGAGCCAGAGGCAGCAGAGTGAACTGAGGACTCACATCGATCACTGATCCCCAGTGTTTGGATGTTCCCATCATAATGCTGTACTTCCTCTGTTCTCTCAAGATATCATCATTGCTCTGGACTTACTTTCCTCCCTTCACGGTCTTGAGCCTACGGATAACCAGTTTCCCTGGCTGCTTTATCCTGCCACCACTTAGGTTTTGGGTTACCTCAATCCAATCATATCTCTTTCCTACTTCTATGCTCATGTTGCTAAATGCCACTGAATTAAAGTCACTAAGTGTCCCAATTAGGTCCATTACAAATTTATCTTAATTAATCTCAACTGGTTCCTCACTGCTACGTAGCTTCTAGACTGGAACAAACTACCTCCTGCCTCTTCCTCTCCTTAGGTTTCCTAATCCAACAATGCCATCACACTGCTAGGTTTGCTCCAATTCACAAGAACATGGCAGATCAGGCAGTTGAGGGTTGTGTCAACACAAGTCATTAATTTTGAAACTTCTAATCCCTTGTCTTCATCAGTAGAGATTCATTTTATTAGCCAATCCAGATTCTGTTATCTACTGACTCCCAACACACTCTCCCTCCTTTCACAATGAGTTCAGTGCTTGGCTTATGGTTTTAAGTTATATTTTACTTATATAATTATGTTATTTCTTACTCTTTATGTTACTTCTTAGGAATTCCATCATATATGTTGACGTCTTCATAATATCATAACTTCCCAGTTCTTTAATCTATTCAATGCCTATTACCCAGGCCTCCAATCCACCTCAGCTACACACAGAGGGTTGTCATACCTTTGACTTTGCCATTGCCAACAAATGTTCCACTTGCATGTTAAATTTCCTTTATTTGCTTATAAACTTGAATCTCTCCATCTCTCCCTGAACCTAATTTCTGTGCTCATTGTGATCTCCAATCCCTCTATCCTTTAGCACCATCCCAGGCCATCACATCAGCTCTGGCTACATTATCCTCCTACAATCTTCAGCCCCTGGTGAACTATTTCCACTGTATACTCTGTCCTACTCTTGAATTATTTCCTCCCTATAATGGATTATGCTTTGCTAAACCCAACCCTGGATTATTCCTACTACCTGCCTACTTCCTCTTACCTTCCTACTTCCTCCTAATCATATGCTGCAGAATAGAACTGGAAAAAATAAAATTCTGTGGACTGGGTCCACTAAAAATTTATACTAACCAGTCTCAAATGGGTTCCCACCATAGCAAGTCAATCTTATTACTAACTGATTACTATTAATCCCTAATTGATTCCCTATCCCACTCACCAGAGAAATTGTTCTAAACATTTTCTTGTTCGCTTAAGCCTCCTATGCTTTCTTCCTCCCACTCTTTCTGATGAAGGACCTTGCCTCATATTTCACTCCTAAAGTTGAGGCCATTTGATGAGAGCTCCCTCTTCTCCCCTACTCATTTCACATCCTTCTGACATTCTTTCCCCCTTTCCCCAACTATCTCTGCCTTCATTCTAATCTCTCCTAGTGAGGGAGTCCTTTTGGTTGCCAAGCCAACCTCTCTCCCTGTACTTCTAAGCACTCCTAAGCCCATCTCAAACAGACTGCTCCAACCATCACCCCCATTCTCTCTCTAACCTTTAATCTCTCCCAATACACTGGCTCCTTCCCCACTGCTTACAAACACCCAAGTCTCCATGATCCTTAAAAAGCCCTCACTAAATCCTAATAGTAGGCATTTATGTAATGCTTTAAGATTTACATATATTACCTCATTTGAGCTTCACTATAACCCTGTGAGGTAGGTGCTTTTATTATCCCCATTTTACAGATAAGGAAATAGAGGAAGGCAGGGGTTAAGTGACTTGCCCAGGATCACATCAGAAGTAACTATCTAAGGCAAGATTTAAAATCAGGTCTTCCTGAGTCTAAGTCCAACACTCTCTACTGTGTGAACCTACCTGCCTGACTTTATCATGTTCACCAGCTTTTCTTATACTTTTCTCTCTCTTCTCAACTAAACTCTTTGAAAAAAGTCATCTATACTTAGTGCTTTCACACGTCTCCTGCTCTCTTTTTTTATTTTATTTTTTCCCCAATTACATGTAAAGATAATTTTTAACATTCATTTAAAAAAATTTTTTTTTGAGTTCCAAATTTTCTCCCTCCCTCTCCTCCACCCTCCCTGAGATGTTAAGCAATTGATACAGGTTATACATGTTCAATCACACAAAATATATTACCACATTAGACATGTTATAAAACACAGACCCAAAGGGGGAAAAAAAACTGCAAAAAAATACAGGAAGTGAAAAATAGTATGCTTTGACTGGCATTCAGACTCCATCAGTTTTCTCTGAAGGTGGGTAGCATTTTTCATCATGAGTTCTTTGGGACTGCATTGGATCACTGTATTGCCGAGAAGAGCTAAGCCATTCACAGTTGATCCAGTATCGCTGCTACTGTGCCCAGTGTTCTCCTGGGTCTGCTTACTTCCCTTTGCATCAGTTCATATAAGTCCTTCGAGGTTTTTCTGAAATCAGCTTGCTCATTATTTCTTACAGCACAGTAATATTCCATTACAATTATATACTACAACTTGTTCAGCCATTCTCCAGTTGATGGAGAATTTCAAATTCTTTGCCACTACAAAAAGAGCTGCTGTAAATACTTTTGTACAAATAGGTTCTTTTCCCTTTTTAAAAAAATCTCTTTGGGATAGAGACCATGCAGTGGTATTGCTGGATCAAAAGATATGAACAGTTTTACAGTCCTTTGGGCTAGTTCCAAATTGCTCTCCATAACAATTGAATCAGTTCACAACTCTACCAACAGTGCTTTAGTGTCCCAACTTTCCCACATTCCCTCACATACTTATCATTTTCCTTTTCTGTTATATTAGCCAATCTGATAAGTGTGAGGTGGTACCTTAGAATTGTTTTAATTTGCATTTTCTCTATTCAATAGTGATTTAGAGCATTTTTTCATATTATGACTATAGTTTTAATTTCTTCATCTAAAAACTGCCTGTTCATATCCTTTGACCACTTCTGCTCTCTTCTAAACCCTCTGCACTTCATCATTCAACTGAAACCCTCTACAGTATTAGCTATTATCTCTTAATTGCTAATCTGCCTCTTTTTGATCCTCTTCCTTTACCTCTCTACAGCATTAGAGATAGTTGACTGTTTACCAGATACTGTCTCCTCTCTAGTTTTTTGGTGACTCTGCTTTCTCTTGGTTCTTCTACCTTATCTGACTGATTCTTAGTGTCTTTTGCTGGATCATTACTTGTGACATGACCCATTAATTATCATTATCCTCTAAGGTTTTTTCCTGGGGCTTCTATTTCTATACTCTTATACATGGCAATTTCATCAGCTCCCAAAGGTTCAATTATTATCTCTATGCAGATAATTCCTAGCTCTATTTATCCAGTCCTAGTTTTTCTCTTGAGCTCCAGTCCTGTATCACCAACTACCTGCTGGACATTTTTAAATGCATGTCCTTTAGGCATCTCAAAATTCCAATTGGAATCCCCTCCATCCCCACCATGTTTCTTCAGTTATTTTAGCTTAATTTATTTTAAGGCAACCCTAATTCCACTGGTTCTTCCTCTCAAATTGCAATCTGTGTGCAGTCTTCTATCCATTTTCCTAGTGTTGGAGGCCTGCTTATTGAAAGTTGTTTTTTGTTGCTTGTTTTTATCTAGTTATTTAATTTATAAATTAATTTTATTTATCTAGTTATTTCCCTCTTTTTTTTCCTCTTAGTAAAGTAAGATTCCCTTCCTTGTCCCCTTTACCTTGTTTTGCTCATTAGTTTTTAAAATTTCATCTTCTGCGCTTTTTTCTAAAAAGAATTTTTCCTCATTCTCCTATTTACCTTTGTGTTCTGTTTATTCTAAACTTTTATTCTTTGATTCATTTCCCTTTTACTTATTTAGTAGAGAGGATATTGCCTCATGGTAGGAATTTTCCTATGTCCCTGATTGTGCAGTTCATTAATGACCTTTGCCCTACCCTTGGCCTTTTTTCTCTAGCTGCCTAGAAATCTCTTCCCTGGGTCTATGCTTTCCCATTCTTCTGCGTGTCATTTGCCCTCAGAAGCTCCGATTGTCCTTTCCCTGAGGCAGGATGATTGGTCTAACCACTAAATTCCTGCAGAACAAGATATCCATTTCCTTTATGAAATGTCTCTCTTCTCCCATAGGAGCATTCATCAATAGCACCCCCTCCCATTACTGAAACAAGATTTTCCCTTTCCTTCCCCCTTTTTTGAATTCCTCCCTTTGTATTACTCCCTCTGCCATAGGCTATCTTCTTCCTGAGAGACTTCAAGGTTTATTTTCCCT